TTTTTTGGTTGCAGCCATCATTGTTGTTTTGGCGGGCCCGGGCTGGATTCGAACCTGCCACCTTAGGTGTATGTGGCTGGTGCCTTAGCTGATTGAGCCACAGGCGCCGAGCCAAAAGACTGGTTCTTTCTCTTTATTTGTCTCCTCTATGTTCCATGCATAGACAGAGGTGTCAGTGCCAAGTACAAAGAGATTGGTGCAAACTGTGCGCGTTACAAGAATTCAGGAGAGGGATCTCTAAAGGCTGGAGGCTTTTAAGAAAGGCTTCCTGGAGGAGGTAAGGTGGGAGCCGTGCTTTGAAGTGTGGAACCATAAGACAAAAGGAGGGAGGAAGGTTGGTGGGGTGCTGGAACTGGCTTGCACTGGCTTTCAGAGCTGATAGTTTAATTTTCAGGAATTTTTCAAGTTGATAAACACCATAATTACTGAATATTAAATTATCTAAACCCACAGTTAAATAAGCAATATTGAAAACAAGGATAATAAATACTGAAAACTCACCATTTCCTAAAGATGTTACTGCATTTTGCTATTATCTTTTCTCTTGAGATTATGTCTATTGTATTTATATGGTAGAAATGTTGTTGCCCAGCCAGGTTCGTCTTCTTCCTGCTCCAGAGAAAGCCAGTGTCCAGAGACGGCAAGTTCACAGCAGGAAAGTTTATTCCACATAGTGCTAAGTGGGGAGATGGGGCATTTCTCAAATCCACTTCCCTGAGAAATGAGGAGAAGGATTTTTAAAGATAGTTTGGTGAGCAGAAGATTAGGCAATCAGGGTCTACTGATTGGCGGGTTTCAGCATAGATCCATTAGTCCTTTGGTATGGGCTGCTGTCTGGGCAGGTCAGCTAATCCACTGGAATGCAGGACCTGAAAGATATCTCAAAAACTACCCCTAGGTTCTGAACAGGTGATGTTATTTATTGAGGAGAGTTAAACAGCTTTATGGCTACCACCTGTGTCCTCTAGCGTAGTCATTATAGAGAAGCAGACAAGAGAAAAGGGACTATTATCAAGTAAGGGGACAGTGGCTGAGTGTTATCATTATTTCAGCTAGGCCTATTCCTTCAGAGTTTGATTATTATTGTCATTTTAGCCAGGCCTGTTTCTTCACAGATTTTCATTATTATAATTATTTTAACTAGGCCTGTTCCTTCAGAGTTTGGGGGGGCCCTTACTCTAGTTCTCGCCTTGCACCCCTTCATCAATTTGTAACGAACTATAGAAATGATCCCTGAAAGTGTAGTCTTTCTTTCATCAATTTGTAAGGATGGTTTCAGAAATACTGTACAATTCAGCCATGGGGGTGGTATTTCCACATGGAATGAGCAAACACCCTAAGTCAGGTCTTGATTTATGGCTTTGCTGATTGCTTAGGAATGCATTAAGAGAAATTGTTTATAATGCAAATTAAATTTTAAAGGGGGCTGCATCTATATCTGTTATACTGTACTATACTGTGAGGAGAAGGAAATTAAGGAAATAGTCTAAGGAAATAGTTTAATAATATATAAAAACTATTCTGATTCATCATAGAAGTTACATCATTAATGACCAAGGGAAGTTCTGACATACATAGTGCTAAAGCTAAAAGAAGTTTCAATTTAATGAATCTAATTTATGTGAGGGTGAGAAGAGTTTCACAGATCACAGACCAAATTTAGTAACATTAAATTCGTTGGGAAAAGAATGGATTGGGATGCAACTTCATTTGTCAGCTTATGGTTGAATTGCAAGTATAGATCGGTCATGGTTACAAAAAGTTCAGCCAAAGTCAACCAAAGCATTCTGTGATTGGCTATGTGGTATTTCCAGTAAGAATATGGCAGACTTTGGCTTGGTGCCGTAGCTCAACAGCTAGGGCGCCAGCCACATACATCAGAGCTGGAGGGTTCGAATTCAGTCCAGGCCTGCCAGACAACAATGAGAACTACAATCAAAAAATAGCCGGGCATTGTGGTGGGCGCTTGTAGTCCCAGCTACTTGGGAGGCTGAGGCAAGAGAATTGCTTAAGCCCAGGAGTTAGAGGTTGCTGTGAGCTGTGATGCCACGGTACTCTACCCAGGGCGACAGCCTGAGGCTTTGTCTCAAAAAAAAAAAAATAATAATATGGCAGATTTTATTATTTGTAAATTGTGTGTAACACACCCTTTGTAACAGTAAAATTTACATGAATGTTTATGTTTTTCTGGAAAGCTGGTTGTTAAACTTAGCAACACCATGTGGGGTGAGTGTGAGAGAGAGAGAAAGAGAGAGAGAGATTCTGGGGTCAGTCCCAGAGAACAGAATTACGTCTAGCTAATACAAGTAGAAAGGGATTTATTGCAGAATGATACAACGGCTAACAGACTTCCCAGGGACGAGGCTGCAGAGACTCTAGACTGAAAATGACAACTAGACACCTGCAAATTGGAGGCGGGAGCTGGCCTGCCATGGGTGCTACTGCCTCTGCCACGCTCAGGAAGCCAGTGCTACAGCACCATCTCCAGTAACCAAGTAGATGTCTGGCACTGCCATAACCAAGCTTTGTCTGAGTGCATCAGATTGGTGAACCCAAATCACATCCGGTACCTTAGCTGCCAGGGAGCTTGGGGAATACAGCGATTAACTTCCAGTCTCTGCACACCAGAAAGGGACTAGAGCTCCACAGAGGAGAGTGGGGGTGAGGTCACTGCCAGCCAGGGCACAGTAGGAATATGCCTGGGGTTATGATAAGTTTGGCAAATGCTGATGCTTATGTAACAGGAATTTGGAGAGCCCTGAAGGCCAACCTGAATAATTGTCAATTCCTTCTCCCTGATACGGGCTTTCTCTTCTCTAAAATTTTGTGGAATGCAAA